AGCGAGTGTTTCCATACTCTCCGTTAAAATAAAAATAGAAGAGACCTCATTTGTAAAAATCGTCCGAGTAGGAGAGAAGTTACCTACAGTTCGAAATTTAAAGAGACTAACTTAACGCGATTTCGATGCCCAGCAGCTCGCCCAAATCGCGGTCGTGCGTAAATGCCGCATATCAGCTTAAAATCAAGATTATTGGACGGAATCTTTAAAATTAATTTACATTCAACGTTAATAAATGAATATTTTCTCCCAAATTTAGCAAAATGTACCAATTGATACAAATAGCAAAGACGTGAAAATAATAGGTATGTGTCCAACATTTCAGTTAGGTATTCGGCACGCTTTCCCACCATATTCATATTGGATTTTTCCTCTTGTTTGTTTTCTCCTCAGAATGTGTTATTACTTGTTCGAAAGGCACTTGGTTCTCTGAACAGGGCAGCATACGACATGAAGTCGCTCACAACCCAACCACGACGAAGTTGTGAAAAAGCGCGCTCGCTGCGCGTTGCGTGCGTCGACGTGACCGGGGGGCAAATGGTGAAGCCCCCCCCCCTCCTCCCGTAACGTGCGGGGACAGCGCCCCCTCCCGTGCCCTCTCATTCCGCTGCCTCCGAGTCTCTTGGCCCAATCGACGAGGCACTCCGTTAGATTCTTGTGTTCGCCAGTTCCAGCTCAGCCTGGTCGATAGCTGATCGCAGAGCGAGCCAAGTGTGTTATACCTAATGTTGCCGAACTTATTTTTATTAAACTAAATTCATTCTCCACGTGCCTATAGGTTGTTGCAGCTGCACAGTCGCTAGTATGAACGCAAAATATTACGGATGATCGGATTGAGATGGAGCTATGAAAGATGTGTATGGACGTCGATAAATCGAAAAAGTGTCGCTGAATTACTGTAGTCACCTCATACATGGAAACAAACGATTGTTGGATGATATAGGCATATCCAATTAATTGTGTTAGTACCTTAATTAATGTGGTGATAGCCCAATAAATTAAGTTACTAACCCAAAAATTGCGCCCCACCTTGAGTTGCGGTACTACCACAATTAAATGGAAACGCCCGTATTTTCCAATAAATTGAGGGAGTATCACAATTTTAGAGGATAACCCTTCACACTTTTTTCTCTTGTATTTTTTGCAAAAATTACATAGTAACCATAGGCTGTCTTGTCCCAAAATATATTTTATGAAACCTAAAATAAAGCTGAAAATATGCGAGCAAAAAGTATTGCATTTAATTAAAAGCGTCAAAGCGAATGGTTCATGTTCGTATCGGTAAGATATTTTGAAAATAATGCAACCAATTCATTGAGGGGCCTCAGTGGGAGAATTTTTTTTTAAATTTTATAGTAATTCTTGTAAAAAGTATGATTTTTGTTGCTTGTAAATGTTGGATTTTCATCAGTCTTTTAAACACTGCTTCTGAGCTGAGCTTCGGATAGAGGAGTAAAAACAAGCAGGACTAGAAAAAGAGAGAATCCGGTGGCAATAGGTGGCAAATTTTTGACGAACGGCCAACTTGTGAGACTGTTGCCGCAAACGAGATAGTCACCATAAACCGGTTTGGATCAGACTCAAGAGGGATCTTTCTGACGAACATTTTGCAGCTTTTCCACGCGTGTGGCAGCGAGAAAGGCTGAAAGGTGAAGCCCCTCACGGGCAATATAAAACAAAAATGAAAATAAATGTAGATGAAAATATGTCTAGATTCAATGGTAATCAATGCGATGACCCGATCAATATTACAACTTATACTGCAGTTAGCTCTCTTCTAGTGGGTTCGTAAGATGACGGTGAGTGCTCGGCGATCAGAACATGCGTGTGGAATGTCAAGCGATGAGAGTGATCAAGATTGATAACGATTGACTGCGAACGACACAGAATTATTTTAAAAATAACATAGAAACCTTCCCTTCAATGCGGCAAAATTTCATGAAAAATAAAATCTTGTTTCACGTGAAATATTTCATGAAATTTCAGAAATTGATGAAAGATATTGAAGAATACCACTTCCTTTTCATGTTTCGCAAAATGTAAAAATTCTGACTTCCTTCTATTTTTGTGTGTTCGAGTGCGGGTTGCGTACTCCAGCCCCTAAAAAATATGAAATATCTGTCTCGTGAAATTTCCTTAAATATTTCACTGAAATTTCATATCTCTCATTTCTTCCTTACGTTCCATGCCACCCTGTCCCCCTTCCGTGAGAACCTCAGGGCTGACTGGGCTTCGGGAGTCTACACAAGAACATCTCTTAGAAAACATGCTCTATGTATTTCTGTAACTGAAGTTGATATATCCTCGGCACGGATTGGTTCAAAGTATTGCTCTCATATTAGCATAGACCACGGCGATGAATGTTTTGCATATTAGCATAGTCCGAAGGCTTATCGTGGAGTTCAAGTGAGTGAATTGACCGAGTGAGTGCAGCGCCCTTGAGGCAGCATTACTCCTCCTACGGTGTTGTCGCTTGGGGATAAGAGTAAGAGCTCTATCGGATTATTGCACGGTATACCATGATATGAGTTATTGATCATAACTCGCCTCCCGTATTACCTATCGGTTAATCTGTGTCACGAGTTTTACTTGCGGTGTTGCTTAAAATTATCCAATCTTTTTCGTGAATATAACCTCGGGTGAGCACATCTCGTCGCTCCTCTGACGTAAGGGCGTATCGTAATCCCCGCATCAGCCGCAGAAAGCATGGATTTATATGTGGAACAGGGCTCACGCAGAAATTGAGATACGCTTTTACGTCAGAGGAGCGACGATCTTTAGCGACGAAATAAGACGCAAGACTCTTATACTACCATGCAAAGGAAAACCGCCGCAAGGAAAACAGGCGTTGCCCAGCTTCCCTTGGTAAATCACGAATTTTACGGGGAAATTTGCAAGGGAATTTCTTCCAATTTTTCAGATGATTCTGTTCGCAATTTTACCTAAAACTCCCGAGAATTTCAAGGAAAAATATTCATAGCTTTCCTCAAAATTAGACACTTTATCAAAGGGAATTTGGCAACTCTCGAATGTTCATACGGCGTTTTTCCTTGGCACGTGTACATGACCCACTGAAATTTAATTAAACGAGGTGTCGAAGGCACATGACCAGGAATGCTTTGCTTAACTGTGGTCTCTTTTAAGCGATCATATCAGCAAGATGCTGCTCATGGATACTTCCATCCGAAAAACTGGAAAATGAACTTAAATGAAATTCCTGCAAGAGTCGGGAGTTTGGATTTCACAAACTATTTTCGTGTGAATTTCACCTGGGACAGGATCATGCTCTCGGTCTTTTTTACACCAACGCAGGCGATGAAATTTTTGTTCAAAGTTAGGTAAGTCCGTAGAGGTGGCACAGGTACCTACAAGAGGTGATTATGGAAGAGCTCATATGCACATTCAGTTAACTTTTCTAAGTAGAGATAGGAACGACAACATTCATTGGGAAAATTGCCCCTATACCGCTTGTTACAAATTACCCTCCGGACGTCCTCATAAAAGGTGACAAGTTATTAATGTATTCACTCATTAGGATCGTTAGGACCGAATACAGAATTTTACTAAATACCCCTTGGTCAAACATTATCTCTCCTGATAATTTAATAGGCAACTCACCCAATTTATGGTCCCGACTAAGAGATTTTTCAGATCTTGAGAGTTGATTTTATACACAACAAGAGGCAAACTTGTGTTTCGTGCAGAATTCTTCACAAAATAGTTATAAATGCAAATACTCGTAGGTCGTCTTTGCGGTCAATTTTTCACATAGTAGTTTACGACTTTTTATCTATTTTTGCAAACGATTCACGCGATGCAACGAAGAGACACTCATTCAAAGTAGATCTTGTCATAAAGTGTGGTTAGCACCTGCATGGTAGGCACCCGAAGGTTATAAATATCCTCCTCCCACCCGAGGTTTGGTACTTCCATGAATTCTCAAAACGGATATGGTAAAAATGAGGGATGGATCACTCTTGGAATTTGTTAGGGTACTCAAAGAAGAAACATTCAGCGTCGTTAGGGTACTCAAAAAAGCGTTTTCTCCCGTTAAAAATCTTGGTGGATAGAAACAATTTAATGTGATAAGCAGGGCAACGTTCGATTCTCATGTTCGCATTAGAGGTAGTCGTGTCCGTGCTGGGCTCACGAATACACCTGCGTCCGAATCGGAAATCGTGGGCCAAAGACAAGTAGATCCTGGGGAGCATTATCACTGATCGGGACTCACGGAAGGCAACCGACTGTCTACGCTACCTCCGACCACGCTCGCTTGCCCAATATGTCCTTTTTGACCATCCTCAGAACCCAGCAGTGAACTCAGATCAAATTCTCATTGAGAATGGACTATTAGACAAGTGCGAGTTCAAGCAGTCTCATATATGTTTCGTCATTATAATTTCACTTTGAATACAATTCTTGCGTCGAAAATTACTGAAATTAACACCTAATTTAAATTTTAACGTTTTTATTTTACACGGGTTACGGGACTTTTGATCTGCCTGCTCACAAGAAACTCAATTCTCTACGTGAGTCAAATTGTGCCTAACTAAGTCCTTTTGGTTGATCGAACCGAAAGAGAGTATCTCAAAATAAGCTAAAGTGACCAAAAGCGCGGGATTTTTTTAACTGTGCAGTGCTTCGTTTTGCATACGTTAAGTCGCTTTCACAGCGCAGCCTTGCGCTCTGCGACGCCCAATCGCCATTGCCCCCTATCCTCCCAGAGATCATCAGGCAATCGGCACCTTCTGATCTTCTCCTCCACCCCTTGTCGCCAACCTTTCACAGGACGTCCACGCCGTCGCCTTCCGAGAGGAACCCAATCGAAAACCAGCTTGGGCAACCGATCGTCTGCCATGTGCCATGTGCCATGTACCATGTGCCATGTACCTTGTGCCATGTACCATGTGCCATGTGCCATGTGATTCGTTTTATCCAAACAGAACTCGTGTTACTTAAAAAATTTCTAGTTTCAGGAACTAATGAGGGATTTGACTCACCATCTTCTCCGGCGGGAAGATGCCTCCTCACGATGTCAACAGCTTCATGGAGCGAGTCCTCCCTGGTGACGTCAACGGGCAAGGAGATGAGGCTCCCGAAGCTGCTTCGGTCCTCGTAGGAGCCCACCGATAGGCTCGTCGTTTGTGACTCTCGGTGTTTCACTTTTGCCGTCAAGATTCGCACAGCCTCTGGGACTGGGTAAACGAATTCATCTTCCTGCTGATCCTGTAAGCATTCAAGGAAATGCATTCAATAAGCATCTGAGTTGCGGGGACATGCAGCGAACGAAGAAAACTAGGGCAGGACGAGAGTTAATCTTGTGAATACACGGAGAAAAAAATCCTCCTCCGTGAGACATGAAGTTCAGGCCATATGATTATCCGAAGTTTCCTAGTTCTTGCGGCCGAAAACTTGAGGCCCAGCTGCCGAAGTTCAGGTCATACGACTGAACTTTGGTTGATTCCATAGAATATTCTGTGGAGCTAGCAACCAAGCTTCAATGTATGACTCGAATTTTGGTGAGTGGAACTTAAATTTTCGGCCGAAAAACTTCTGCTTCCATATGACGCGGACTTTCAGGTGTCACGCACGAAGTTTTCTCTCTGCATGTAGATCGCGCACACTCGCACACAGAGTTTACCGTTTGGGTATCAACGTTACGATGAGTAATAATATCATGCAGTTGCACTAGTAAAAGTTTTAGGTAAATTTTGCCACATGGGGTTTACAGGTACATCCTGAAGGATCCTGGCATCTATAATTTTTGGTCTTTGAGAGAAAAAATTGTTGTGATCACCGAAAAGATAATAGTAAGTACTCATTATCCAAAATTGTCTGAAAATTTTGGAAAAAAAATGTTTATAATTTTCCCAGTACATTCGGTTTTCACCGAGGGCAATTTGGCAACGGCTGAGGGCTCTTTCGGCGTCCTTCCTCAGCACGGCAGCGTTGAGGGCAGAGACAGGAGACCCTCCACTGGAATCTCGGCTATTGTGGAAGCTTTTTCTTTCGGGACCTCAACATTCAACTGTTGACCTACCTAGTTAGTTGATGATTAACAACGTGTTGGCAGTATCGTTTTGCAAACAAACAGAAGTTCGGGAAACTTGTTTGGCTCATGACGTCACCCGAAGCTCACCATCCACCAAGAAGGTAGGTCAACAGCCGAAAAAAGAGTGATGAATGTTGCTCCCTTATAATAATTATAATTGTCCATAAGGAAGTGTTGAATCCCCGAAATTATAAGCTTCGCTAAGAGGCGAATGAATGTAGTCGCCAAGAGGGCAGGGGAGGGTCTCTTGTCTCCGGTTGAGGGATGATGCCTGTTGGTATTGGGGTACTGACCTCTTTGTTGCAGGCGCGGCATTGGATGTCATCCTCGCGAACTTTGGGCTTGTAGCCGGCGAAGACGCGGAAGCCGAGGGAGGTGAGGTGGAGGGCCAGCTGGAGACCGAAAGCGGTCTCGGCGGAGGTGATGAGGACGGAGCGACCGGTGCCGACGTTGAGGGAGGCGAAGGCGGCGTCGTAAGTGTGCTTCCGCTTGGCCGTTTTGCAGAGCAGGTAGAGGAGCAGCGCCCCGACGATGCACGAGAGCGCCACCAGCTGCACCGCCAGGATCATCGCCGTCTCGTCGTCCATGCCGCCGTCCACTCAGACACCAGCATCTGAAACACCCAAAATCCCATCTCTTAGTCATTACAGCAGAGTCTCGATTATTCGCGATAATTGGGACCCGAGATATCGCGGATAATCGAAAATCGCGGATAATCCGAATCTACGCAAGACGGCCGGAAAAAGTCATCGGAAATACTGTATTTTAAAGGAATCAGTAAAGGCTCTTATCATGCAGTTAGTGATTACAGTTGAGTCTCGTTTATCCGCGATAATTGGGACTGGAGATACCGCGGATAATCGAAAATCGCGGATAATCGAAAATCGTGGATAATCGAAAATCGCGGATAACCAAAAATCGCGGATAATCCGAATCTACATAAGACGGCCGGAAAAAGCCATCGGGAAGACTGTGTTTTAAAGGACACAGTAAAGACACTTACCATGTCGTTAGTGATTACAGTGGAGTCTCGATTATCCGCGATAATTGGGACCGGAGATACCGCGGATAATCCGAATCTACACAAGACGGCCGGAAAAAGCCATCGGAAATACTGTATTTTAAAGGAATCAGTAAGACACTTACCATGCATTAGAAAAGAATATATTTATCAACTATTAAGAATCGATAAACTTTCCCTGTTAAAAAAGGCTTGCACGTGCGCGTGAAATGAAAATATAGTTTTTCCAAAGAGGATAGGAATGACCCCGAATTTCTCCGTTCGGTTCCGGTCGCTTTCAAAAGAAATAGAAAAAGTAAAAAAAAGTTCGCTCCACAGACCGCGGATATTCCGAATCGCGGATAACCGAAGCGCGGATAAACGAGACTCTACTGTACTTCGTCAGTGCATCCCATCCGGATCCTAAAGTACCTTTATGAGGAGAGTATGGCCACTGGGCCCCATGGAGAGGCTTATAGCCCAAAAATGGCGGTGCTTTTGTTTGGTTTTTGCATATGGGAGGGGGGTCATTGCCAACTTTTGACGGTTATCACCGACCGCACTTACTGCCGACCTTATTACATGATTATTGCCTATTATGCCTGTTCTTCGTATTTTCACTATCAGACTACTTCATTTCTAACCTTTTAATTTTAAGTGACAACCCCTATCTCGTGACATATCGTCAGATAGATGAAAAAAACATTTTTTGGCGAGCAAAATTTCAGCGCAATTTTTGATTAGATCATAAAAATTGTCAATCCTTTGTGACTTTCTATGCCATCGGTTGAGCGACGCCGCACTTACATCGGCGAATTGTAAACGTTGAGTAATTGTGCGACAGTTTGATTTTCGAATTGAAGTGTTGGATTGTCGGAAACGTCGGCTAATAACAGCTGCAAGCGAGTAATTGGAGCTAAAGCGGACACTCGGAGATGGTGGCGATGTCCATAAAAAAAAGAAAATAGCGGCAAACTCCTGCTTGGATTCCAGTTTGGAATCGGACTGCAGGCCGTGCCGTGTCATACGTATCAACAGATTGTTGTTGTATTCGAACATTGCTAAATCATGCGAGAAATGTGATTTGCTACCTTGCAGAGCGCTAAAATTTCGACTGTTTCTAACCTACATTCGAAAGGAAAGTATTTCGAGTTGATAGCGCATTGTTCTTAATGCATTTCTCTTCTCATTAATAAATTGTGTGCATGAGGGAAAACTATGTGCATGATAAAAAATTCGGAAATCCTTTCTCTATTGAGTCGTTGACTCTAGGCCCTAACACAGAGCAAATAAAGAATGTTTACATATGGACGTATTTCTACCAAACGGAACTATGTGCATTAAGACATGAGCCCTGAGACCCATAAGAATATATGCATAACAGGGCTCACGTCTTAATGCACATAGTTCCGTTTGATAGAATTACGTCCATACGATCGTTTAATTCTCAATGTCCTTAAATGTACATACCTAGTAGACATTTTTGACGGCACCATAGGGATAGGGACTGTATTGAGAACTTTAATTTTAAAAAATGTGTAAAATTCCAAATAAAATAAAGTCAAATAATTTCTAAAAATCGGTCGTTTTAGTTATGATAAGGATTTCATGCTGAAAACATTCTGAAGATGTACTTCAAAAATAATACAACCCAGTGACGAAAAAAATTCCTGATTGAATGTCTCTTTTACTATAAGTATGCATCCTATCAATATTATAATAATGAATTTGGTGTCTTGTCTAACCTGCAAGGAAGTCCTTTGATGAATAATGAATCGATGCCTAGGTGTACCTACCTACCTTCATCAACTTCTTTCTCAATAAAAAAGATGGGTAAGAAAATTCTGACGTCAATTTTAGTTTAAAGTCTTAGCACGTCAATCTCTATGCAAGATCAGCTATAAGGCACAAGTAGACAACTCTCCCGTCATAAAAGTAGTTTCGTTTCGCGAATGCTTTTCCTGCACACGAGCTTGAGGAAATTGGTCTTGGATATTTTTTAAGATACTTTATAGCACACGTACATCGGGTTGGAGCTTCTTGTGGGCCAACTTTTCCTCCGAGTTATAATTGGCAAAGAAGATGATAGTTCGATCTGCGAGTGGGAATAGTTTAATTCCTGATCTACAACCTGATCTGGCAACTACCGTGTCAACGAAAGTGACCATTTCTCATTTTTTTCTGTTTCATTTTCATGTTTTTCCTCGGCACGCCTTGCCGTTCGCCGTTCGCAGTGTTGACCAACTTAACGCTCTAACAAGATTCGAGACGCACACGTAAAATATTCAAACGCGGCGCCGCGCCACGCTGCCGTATGCCGCATTGCCGCCACGCTGAGCCGTCCGTCGATGGACAATTATTTCGAAAGTTTCCAACTCGAGAAAATTTGTCCGATTCACGGTATGGTGCGTGTTTTGCATACAAAAAATGTCACTCGATACCGCATTGAGAGAGGTAATACATATTGCTCTGGATTTAAAGTCGTCTTTATTGGACTACATTTTGCAATTAGGAACTATAAAGTCCGGCCAGATTTAAAAACAACGTATGTTCTATTAGTTTCCCAAAGCTCATAAGTACTTTTTCAGATGAGCCAGAATTTATAGCTCCAAATTGCAAAATGCAGTTCAGTTGAACGTGTCCATTAAATGATAAGTATATAATTGACGCCCTTCAAAATAAAAGCAATTGAAACTCATCGGCAACATTTGGTAGGTACAACATTTGGACTGCACTTTGCAATTTGGAGCTATAATGTTTGGCTCATCTGAAAAAACACTAATGTGCATAGGGAAACTAATGGCACATACGTTGTTTATAAACCGGGCCAGAATTTATAGTTCCAAATTGCAAAATATAGTCCATTTTACAAAATTAATTTTAAAAACGAAGCACAAATAAAGTATGATTTTTGCAATGCTTGAAAGAAAATTTCATAAAAAAATTAAGGAATTCTTGTCGTTTTTTCCCTTCTAGTGGGTGTACTTCATGATGAAGGTATTAAAGTATTTACTGTCTTAAAATTTTCGGGCTTTGATGATAGTTTCAGGCGGGACAAAGACAGGATTAGGCTGACAGGCGGCGGTTCATAATACGAATTTTTCAGAAGATTATGTAAATTAAAAGAATCCCAGAGCTATTTAATAGATATAGTAAGGATACACAATAGATCGGTGATAAGGCATCAATTATATTTAAATTTATCGAAGCTATAATTGTCATATACTGGGACAAAATTTTACCAAAATTCACCGAATGTTGCAAAGACGAAGACAAGCATACGCTAGAAGTGACGCGTACGCTAAATGGACTTCATCTTGCAATTCGGAACTATCACTTTCGACCCATCTGTGAAAGCACTTATCTGGATAGAGAAACTAATGGTATACATACGATGGTTTTAAACTGAGGCACAGTTTATAGTTCCTAATTGAAAAATGTAGTCCAAATGAGGAAAGGATAACGTGTCTCTTATAAGCATAGCATTATTTTAGGGAATTATACTTAATGTACATCAGCATATGAAGTAAAAGAGATCATGAACCGTTTAACTGCACAACCAAGGTGCTTCACCCCATACCTACCGGCCGCACTAGGAAGGCTTCGCAAAAACTGGATAAGCCAAGCAGGAGGTAAGATTTGGGTGACATAAAATCGATGCTAAACCTAATAGCCCCACTGCAGGCTGGCGTAATTCAGTCAACCTTCGCCGCAGACTTCACTGCAGACGAGCTGTAATCAATATAGCTCCCTCATAACAAGTTTCGGTCGTGTTTCGTCTATTTTGATCCGTGTTGAAAGTTAGTTACCAAGGAGACTTAAACGCGATTAAACAAAACGATCTAAATAAAGAATTTAATCTGGAGACTTGCCACTTTTGTTTAGACCTATCCGATAACTTTCATGCCATGCCTTGCCTTTTCCACGAATAAAATCAAAGAATAATTTTTTCCTGTCATTTTAAAAAATTTTCTTCCAGGAAATTTTTCACAAGAGTTCATAAAATCAACTATTTGAATCTAAAGCACCCTAAAGTAAAAAGTGCACACTTACAAAATATGGAAATTGAATTGAAAGTAATTAAACTTGATTTTTCTTTCTTAAGTGGCAACATAAGCATAATCCTGGCCAGAACGTGCAAATCATCATCTTGAAGACCAAATCACAGGGAGAGGGCAAAATATAATACTAATCGTGCCGTTGTAGTTCTCACCTCAACAAGACACGGTGTCCAGATTTCGTAGGAAATGCATGATGAAGTTGAAGAACTCAATGGAGCAAGAAACCCAGTCAGTGAAGAGTCATGTTCTGATGGTTGAAGTTAAAAGATTCGTAAAAAATCCAGGAGCGCTCCGCGTAAGACTGGGCTCAATCCACTCTCCCCCTAACAACACCGCGTAAGCCAAACTTAAACCCTCTGCTCCCCTATCATATGTAAAGGTTGAACAGGGTTGTACTTTAAATACCTCATTCAATTTTACCAAGCGAATACGATATTTTGCGGGGGTCCTTTTCTGTTAAGGATATCACGAGAGACGTTTTGAAAATTGATCGCTGAAATGTGCAGGTAAACTAGATCTTCCTGTTTTCCTGTAAAAAACAAACCGACATCG